ATAACTTATTTTTTACTGAAGCACCCTGGCTCTGCACTGCGACTTTTCAATGAAAAATTAAAAAAAGTGCCAACAATTTAAATTATTTTTTTTTATTTATTATGTTCACGTTCAGATATTTTCCCATCCATTTTTTTTACTGCAACACCCTGGCTCTGTACTGCGAATTTTCAATGAAGAATTAAAAAAAATGCCAACAATCCATAAAATACCGAATAGTGGGAGACAATTGGAAAAAATTCCCAATCCGTATTTGGTATAAAAACAAAATTACAACTAGTTTACTTGAAACCGTTCCCAAACAACATCAACACAACACCGAAAAAAACCAAAATGTGTACCGATAATTTCCATCTTCAATTCTAAACATGATAACATTTACATTTCTTTAATATTGCGAACTCTTCAGTGATTATAGCAAACGGACATTGCTTAATCCACACGGAAATTTATTTTGATCAAGAATATACATGCTTATGCAGTCTCCAGGTAATATTTCGAGCTTTGCAAACAGAATGAAAATGTTGTAATTTTCAACAGATATAAATATCTTAAAATTGGTATAATTTGCTTGTTCATTTGAAAATGTAATCTGTTTTCGTGGCGGATCTAGCGGCAGCTAGTTAAACTACACAATAGTTCAACTATTAATCACTAGAGGCTACTACGACACACCATTATATTTCAGACACAAACCCATATGCACCACATGCGCACAGAGAGTAATTTTTGAAAAATCAACAAAATACTCTCTTAAGTAAACATGTTTACAAGAAGAAAAACATCCCTTTATCTAAAAATCTCTCTTAAATTTGTCCTTTCAAAAGGTTTTACCGCTAACAGGAAACACACCATAAAAGTGATGGCTTGACAAACTCTAACCCATAGCAGTTGTGAGAATAAAAGGAGTACACAGGACTTTTAGGGACACCCATTGTTATGAGATATCGAATCGAAAGATTTTTGATGATTTGTCAAAGCCAAAAAATCACAGGGATGATTAACCCACTCGATGCATTCAAGTCGTTTCCTTTTTGTGATTTCAATGAAATTAAACTTTAGGTAAAAGGCATATTTGTTGTCTATAATTTTCACAGTTGGTGGTTGTCAACATTCGAAAAAAACTGACAAAATCACACTTACTGGCATTAGACGGGGAGAGAGAAACGGTACTAAATTGAAATGTATCACAAACTAATCAACTCAGTACGTCATCGTGTACAACATGAAAAGCAACGAAAATTTTAATAGGACAAACAAAAGAGATTCCATGTTTCTCACAGCAAGAGCTGTTGATGTTCTACATAAGATAAGAGATAATTGCTCTTAAATTATATACAAGGACATTTGACGAAATTTTTCATCAAAATAAAATTCGAAACACTCTAAAATGAATTTGATGAAATAAATAACGGTTGTCTCTCACCACTGGGGATTTTGATATTACACTCTCCCCTTTCGCTGTTATGATAGCTGAGGTCATTGAGTTCGTATAATTAGAAGATCAAGATATGATATTCCTAGTTGAGGGTAGTTAGAAATTTCTAGTAGGTATTTTAATTTGCTAGTTGTTGTTAGGTATGTTGGTGACAATTGTTTTAATTATTAGAGTCTTTATAAATTTGAGTAGTTGAGAAGTACTAATGTATTCTGCAACTGTTTTATTTTTTATCTCCAGATCTTTTTTTTATTAATTTATTACAATTTAATTATTGTTTATTGCTTAATAGTAGTTTTGATTTGTGATTTAATATTGAATGAATAAGCTATATTTCAAGGATAATAGTTAACACCCCCGCATTGAATGTGTGGAATTATTTACATGTCCAGTTGTATGTATTTGTGTTCAATTATAATTGTATTTAATTGCAGGTTGTCAACGTGTTCCATTATATCGAAGAATAGGAAAGGGTGACAATTAAACAGATAATATCTTAAACGTGAAAGGGAGGATTATACATTTTCTAAAGATTCCTACTTTTTTAGAACTTGTCCACACAATTAAGAACTATTGTTTCAGAATATATTCTTGGTCTTTAACAAGAAAAGAAAGCAATCGGAAAAATTTTTTCCAAAAAATATGTTATTCTAAAAAAATTAATTGTGTTATATACCGAATATAAAAAATAAATGTATATGATATATAAAGCTTGAGAATTGAATACATCATTATTTTACTCCACCCTCTAAGATAATCGAATGTTAGTTACTGTAACTAATTATAATGGAGGCAATACAAATTATTTTATCTGATACTGGACATTCATTCTGTGTAATTATAGACAATGGATTTATTTCAGTTTTCAATCTGAATTCACCGAAAAAGGGTTAACAGTGGGAAAAAATGTTGAGAATGCAATATGCTTCAAATACTATTTTGGGGTTCAATAATACACAAAACGAAGTGATTTGCAAGATTTTAGTTGTTCTTACTGGATAAAAAATTATCAATATTGGTACGCATTTTAGGGTAGCTCCCATATAACGGTACGGTACGGGCGATATTTTGAAGCTTTAGGGCAAGTTTTTCGACAGATTTGGTTCTTATTTGATATAAGGAATTTTTATTGAGCAGAAATCTCTCTAAAAATTAACGATATTGGTCCATGTTTTCGGCATTTTGATATATCCAATCTAATCTACTGTTTTATGGTCTTTGGGGGTTTCGCTGGGTAGAAAATCGACCACCAAAAACGTACAATATTATCGTATTTGATTGCTTATATATCAATTCCCCTGGATATTCGGTATTTTGAATATTTTGGTGTGCTTTTCGACAGAATTGGTTCATATTTGGTATTTTCATAGAGTAGGAAATCCTTATATATGAGTACTCTTCCAATATTCGACATTTTGAAGGTTTTGGGCATGTTTTCCAACCTCACCATCTGTAATTTGATATTTCGGGTTCTCAATGGGTAGACTATTTTTAAGGTTAGTCTCCAATGTATGTTGGATAGTTTGGGTTCTCATAGAGTAGAAAATCACCCTACCAAAAATTATCAATATTGGCCCAAGATTCTGGGTAGCCCCCATATAATGGTACCCACCATTATTCAGTACTTTCAACCGAATTGGCCTTGATTTGTCAGGTGTCATGAGTATTTTTAATGCTTTCGCCACATTTTCTCACGGATTTGTCTTTATTTTGGTATTAGGGGTTCTTGAAGGATGCCATGCATAATAAAAGAAAATAATCAATATTGGTCCACGTTTGGGCATATCGCCCATATAAGTGTAGCGCTGCCTCCCTGCCAATATTTTGAAGGTTTGTGTCGCATTGTTTTGGCTGTTATATGACATTCCGGGATATTGGAGGGTACACACACATTTTAGCGAATATGTTTCTATATAGTTATCATCCGAATTTTCTCAAGAAGTGGCTACAATTCAGCATATGGGATACCTGGTACATATATTAATTTCAGAATTTATTCAATTTAGATTAATGTTTTAAAATAGCCCTACACAAAATATGTTCGTAATAATTTATTCAACATACCGACAATTATATTGAACATACCGAAAATTGTGTATGGGGCTTTCCCAGTTCATAATGCAATAACAAAGTCCCCATACAAGGGTCCTGACCGATGAAGGAATTTTGAATGCATACAACATGGTAAAGGGTATTGAAAAATCTGTTCTCAGATTTTGAAATAAATCTCCCAAGGAGGAATTGTAATGTTGATTGTAGAATCTGAGTTTATTTTGAAGTAAGGAACGACTCGAACCACAGAATGGTATCAAAAACCCAAATGAAGTTTATCGCATTTGAAGAGGATTGTTTTGAAACAATTGTCATGTTTTACTTTTGCAGTACGGGAACATTTCTTTTGAACGATATTTAGGTCGATTTAGCATATTCAAATTCAATACTTCGGCATTTATTTTTTACCCAAAAATTATTGGCAAAATGCCGTAAAACTTGGTTCGACGTACAATATCCTAACAAAAAAATCAGTGTTTGTCACCAAACTATATCTTGAATATGACAAAATAGATTTTCTAAAGAGGATAAAAATTCAAGAATATCTATTGTTATCAAAAAAAATAACATTAATGTCATATTTTCGACTGTTGCAATGATTGAACAATGAAATAGGATTTTAAGCTTCTCAAAATAAATATTTGTATAATTAGTTAGACGAGTAACGATTTAAATATTTCTATTGTTAATGTTAACAATAAAATAAAGTTTTGAGATATCTCAAATTTATCTGAAAAATCTCTTCTACTTTTTAGTTTATGAGTTATTAATTTTGACAGGAACATATTTTTTTCAAAATATCTCTAAATTAAAAGATTAAATTACAATTTTTGATATTCCAATAAACTCATTTTGGATGTTATTTTCATCTAAAGGAAATCATACACACATTAAATTTAAAAGTGAATTTTATTGGTGTCTAATTATTTATATATATATATATATATATTATCTTATCATTATATATTTATTAATTTATTTATACATTTAAAAACTACAAATAATTATATTAGAATATCCGTATAACTAAAACTACACAATAAAGTGGAGTGAAACGGGGTAAAGGAGCCATGGGATCCAAAAAAGGGGATGGTGGAATGTGAATTAAATTACTGGTATTGTGGGTTTTATAATTAGCTGGTGGTTATTTGGAGAAGGTGATATTAGCTATAACATATTCTTATTATTTTGTTTATAACTGGGATTTATGTTATGAACTAAAAACTAATTATAAATAAATTACAAAATATTTCTAGATATGTATGTTTGATTATGTTGTGGTTCATATTAAACACGGCTCTTACTTAAAACTGTTTTTATTACATTCATTCAAACGATTTATAGCTAAACGAACTACAACTAATTACTAATTAACTAAACGTAATTTATATAGTGTATGTATATAGCAATTGAATATTATTTCTATGACATATGAACATTATTTGATTGTAAGAACTGCAACCTAGGAATGTGAAATTTAATCACTAATAAGGGGGAATGTTGTCGTATCCTAGACCATGGTCAAACTTTTATTAATATTCTCTAGATGTTCCTTAGCCTTAATTCTCAGAGTGGCAATGGAATTTGAACGTATATCTGTGGGTTGTGCTGGTTGCGATTGCTGTTGACTTGTTACTGAGCTGCTGGTGGGTGATATTGTTGCCGAGGTGGTCGAGGAATTTGAATTCGAATTTGCATTACTTGCTGCGCCGGAACCATTACTATTATTCGTAATGGGAGGTATGGGACTTTCACGACCCACATCTACAACCTCAATGTTAACAACAGATGGTGAACATTTCGTGGTCGTGTCATTGTCACCACCATTAGTACTGAGATTTTGTGGTGACAATGCGGATTGGTTGGCGGTATTAGCACTTAGCGATGACGAGGTGGATACTGTACCTGATAATGATGATGACGAGGGCGGCGGTAATCCGGTAAGTGGTGAGTTGGTAGCCGAGGCATTTGATGATGAGGTGGAAGTTGAAGATAGCGAATTGGCCACAGTTATTTGTGGCTGCATTGAGGCCAATGTCTGTGGTGACATTCGTGACAAGTGGGGCGATAAGTGTGCCAGTGACATATGTGGATGACCACCATGGCCATTACCCGCCGCCCCCATTGGAGGTAAACCATGTCCTTGATGTCCAGAGGGTGGTGGTGGCGGTGGACCGTGCATGCTGGGACCATGATGACCCATGGCAGCTAAACTGCTCATGGCTAGATTTGAGGGTGCCAAACTTAGCGGTGGTGTCAGATAGCTGGGATAGACATTTTGTGGATGCGAAAGGAATCCTGAGGAGGAGAGGGATTTGATTAGTTTGTTGATTCAATGGTTCGGAATTTTAGTGCGAACTTACCTGGTAATGCGGATAGTAAAGGTGGTGATAGCCATGGATCAACGGGTAAGCCGGAGGGTCCACAGCCCAAGCGATGCGGCAGTTGTGTGAAATGTGTCAAACCCAATCGTAGACTTTCAGATTTCTCTTGACGCCTCCATTTGGCCCGACGATTTTGAAACCAGACCTGTAATGAAAAGAAGATGGACAATTATTTTAGAGGGTTAGGCATTAAGGAGAATTTCAATAACTTAATTGGATTTAAATAATGTAATTTTAACCAGAAGTCCATAGAGGGATAGTCTTCTTAGACCCAATGTAAACATCCATACTGATAAGAGATTGAAAATTTAAAATATTTTTTTCATTTTGACAAGGCCAAAAATGGACGAAATCTTTATATGGAGGCTATGTTACGGATATGTGGATGTCGAAATTATTCTGAAAATATTTTTTTCATCTACTAAAATTCGGATTGCCAAACTTCAGCTATTTCCGTCGAAAATAAAAATTTGGCGGGAACTTCATAGTCCTATATAGATCATTTTTTGCCCTTCGAAAATTCGGAATACCAAAAACGGAGTATAGTATTTGGTAGAGACCACGCTTCATTGTAAGAATCTTGAAAGTCTCAACGTTAGTGAATGTAATTTGGCTTTTTGGTCCTCAGAGGTAACAGAACTCGTCGAGTTCACAGAGAGTAACAAAAGGTCCATTTTGTGTCGCAACGATATATAGGAAATGTCCCTGTTTAGAGCTTTGAAGCTTCCAACGATATGTTTCAGAAGGTAAAATGTATTCCGGCCTAAGTTAACGTTTTTTCCTTGCTTCATATTTTTTCAGCACGTTAATTAATTTCAATTACCTATATAATTTATTTGTAATTATTAGCAGACAAACTTTCCGCTTCCTCCCCTAGCCAAAACTTTCCAATCCATTCCATTCGACATCATTTCATTCTTCCCATACACCTGATTTTATTTTCATAATCATTTTTAATTAATTTATACAAATTGTGTTTAATTACTTTCAAACGAGACTGACAGTTATATACCAAAACACATACATACATATACATATATACACACAATCACACTTCTACGATACACAATATTAAACAAGCAACACAGATGAACGAAAGGAAGATTGAAAATATTTTACCATCATATTGAAATATTTACATGTGGTTTAGTTTATGTGTGAGTGTGAATGTGTTTTGCTGTGTATGTGTGTACATTTCCGTTGTGTTTATCTCAATTAGTAATTCATTTCTGACTGTCTGACTGTCATTCCGACATTCATGTGTCTTTCCCTCCGCACAGACTCTTCTTCATTATGTTTAATTACAAGAAATAATTTTTGTGATCCGCTTTCCTGGAAAATAATGTCTGCCAGAGGAAGGATAGATAGACAGCAGAAAAGTCTAATACACTTTCTCTTTTCATATTATGTTCTGATTTTCCTTGCTTTCTGTCTCTCTCTCTCTCTCTCTCTCTTTGCCATGCAAAAAGTTTTCACCCCACCATCCTTTTTGTTTGTTAAGATAATTCTAATTATAGCCTGTTTGACTTAATTGAATTTTATCTCCTAGCTTGTTATAGGCCAACCAGCTCCGACCCCCACCCGATTTTCTCAAGGAATGCTAGCTGTCGTTTAGCTAAAGCATCTTCGTCGTCATCGTTGTTGTTGTGTTTTTAATTTCTTTCAATTTGTGTTTAGTTGTTGTTGCTGTTGCCTCTTTGTGCACATCCCTTGGAAAATTCGTATAATTGTCTGTTTTATGTTTGGATTATAGGGGGGATAATTGGTTCTGTGTGTCTGTGTTGGTGTGTGTGTTTAACCGCCATCTTGTTTCCTCACACAAACACATACACACCTACACATTTTCAAATGAATTTAGTGTGATAATTAAGCTCATTCATTTGCAATTCACTGGCTGCTGTTGTCGTTGCCGTCTCTGCTGTTTTTGTGTTACCGTTGTTGTTGCAAGTTTAATTAATTTTTTCGTTCGTTAAACTAATTGCTGCCTAAGGCGATAATCACCAAGAGCGTAACTGTATGCTGAATAAATCGATGCAGGAACGAACAAATGGCTCAAATAGGTTCCCCGCCATAATTAGTTTAATGCCAATTCCCTGTTATTTAATTTTCGTTTAAGTTCAATTTACAGATTATCTTAATGAATGTTCGTTCTATGTGGCAGCCGGATTGTGACAGAGGATTTAGGGAATTAAGTTTTTGGGTTATTAAGTGACAATAGGGGGATTTTAATTTTATACAAGTAGTATGTCGGGACCTTTGGGGCAATGTGTTAGACAATTTATCTAGGACTAGAATGGGGGCCTTTTAATATGTTTTTTTTTTTTCAAAAATAGGACGTATATTGAAATGTTTCTACGAAGAAGTAATTTACCCTTAAAGAACCCTGAGTATAAACGTATACCGGAAGTATCAACGTAGAAGTTGTAGAATGCCAATTTCAACGTATCCAACCGAATTCGTAAGTGCTAATCTTTACAGCATCTTCAGGTGGATAAATATATACAAATACTAGGAAAGTTGATTATGGCAAATGTTGCTAAAAAATTCAAAAGTTGGACATGGCATGGCCGAGCCGCATATAAACAGATTATTTTTGAAATGAAAATGTTCATATTTAACCAGCATGAGAACCTGTGTACGTACCTGACCTGGTGTATAACGAAGGGTAGATCAATGCCAATTGCCATAACCTAAGTTCTTACATTAAAAATTACGAACTCTAAGATAATTTCAACAGACAGACGTGATTTCAACAGACACCCTCCCTCATAGTGGAGGGTATATAATGTGAATTAAAATTCCTAAGTTATATTCAAGAAAATTCTACAGATCTCAACTTTTAAGTTATTTAATAAAGACGTCATTTTGGAGATAATAAAAATAGAATTTCTTCTACAGCAGTAAACGTTCCATAGTACTTCTATAAATATAATAATTTCAATAGGACTGGTAGGAGATAGTATACCTTATAAAGGAGTTCTGTATAAGGAATTTCTTCTTATGGTCTTCTATAGATTTTTATAGATCACCTGCATCTTCTGTAGATAGCAGATTTATAGACAAATGACTTTCTATAGGTATTCTACAAATAAAAGACATATATAAGACCTTATATTCTAAAAATAGTACACCTTTTATAGGCCACCAAAATAAGGATGACATTCTATTGCCCTTCAATAAACAAAAATCCTACATATCATTCTATAGAGAAAACATTTTTCTTTAAAGTATAGGAGAGACTTCTATAGGCACTCTATATATATGGAAGAACTTCGTATGACCCCCATATATATAATATAGCTTGCTTCTTTAAGGTACTCCCCTACGAGGACTAAAAATATACTCCACAAATCAATTTTAATTAAATAATTTCTTTACCGCAAAAACCGAATTAACATGACCTTCTATCTTTTTCTGCTAATTGGCACTGTTAATTTAACTGACTATCATCATTAAAGCCGCTCACGTTGTAAAATAAATATAAACAACAACAACATCAACAAAAAATAATAAATACCATTTATTGTTGACGGCAAATGATGATGGTTTTAATTAAATATTCTACAAACTCTATGTTTGTATGGCTGAGTTTGACGTGCCTCATTGTTTGTCGATGATGACGACGATGAGCGGAAAGAGGATGTGGAAGAAAGGTTGCTGCTTCTTCATTTTAATTAAATCATCAAAAATCAATTTTGTAATTTCCATTCATGGCGCGCCATAATGAAAATAAACATCAACAACAGTAAATACAAATATACAGATACACACAAACACACTCATAGTTACATTTGTGTGAGAGTGTCTGTGCATAAAACCCCCACAGTCGTGTATAAAAATCCTGTAAATGAAAATTATTTTCAACGCCCACTTATGGCTCCCCACACAACTAGTCGTTACGATGAGAAAGAGCTTTTAAAGCTTTCTTCTCCTGTAACACACATTTTCCCAGACTCTCTTTCTCGTTTTAGTCACACTCATACTACCATATTTAGTGAGGCAAATGAAAAAAATAATTTATATTTATCCGAAATTTAAGCTCTCACACACCCATACAATTACCCACCATTTTGGTGGCCACCCCACCCACTCGCTCACTCATTTTTCTCTCACTTCCCCTTCCTTTACCACTCCCCCTCGCCCATATTTATTGTGTGTACATAAAAGAAAGTTTATATTCGTTAGTACCATCAACCACTTTTCATTTTTAATCTCTTTGATAAACTTTTACCACCCACACTTAATATCTCTAGCTCTTGCTCTCTCTTCTCCCATCTCTGTGGATGGTGCTCTTCGTTAGCCCGTAGCATCACTAAATGAAACTGGATGAGTAAATATTGTTATATTAACTGTACTCCATACCAATGGCAACTTTGTTTAAGGGATGCTGGACAGGTGGGTGGATGGGTGTTTGGTTGGATGTTTGTGTTAAATGGGAGTTTGTGTAATGTCAGGCCTACATTTGGGTGTGGGGGTGGCGTATGATTGTTGCTAAATTGTGTGGACTTTGGGTTCAACTTGAAAACATCATGATGGCAATTTTATTGGAAAACTTTGTTGTCTTAAACATCTTCAACTGGTAGCTGGTAAATGAAGAGGCACAACACACACACACACAGATGGAGGAAACAAAACAAACATGCACATACATATCTACCCAGGACTCAATTTACTCTCTTCTCAACATAATTGTGGGGATATGCTATGTGTGTGTGTTTTTTTTTTTCTTTGGTCGCCCACATATTGGGGAAGTAAAATTGCTGTTGTTCTACCTCTCTTTTGCCATGATGGTTTCCATGAATAATTTTCGTTATGTTGTTCTTGCCAATGATTGTTGGCGAAATGTTGCAGAGTAACAGAAAAACAGAGGTTGGACAAGATGAAAAAAAACAACTACTAAAAATGAACACAAGGCACCAAATTACTTTTGAGTATGTTTCTGACAGTTTGCAAATTGGAAAATTGACTTTTAACTGAGGCGTACAACTTCACATACATTCAGACATTTACAGCGTCGCTGCCATATGACCGATTGAAAATTGTTGTTTGATGGTTTTTACGGCTTCGACTTGTTTAAAACCAGAAAATGTTTTCTTTTGACCATGTTATTTTTTGGCGGAACACTTTATTACTTTGATCTTTGAC